GTTAAATACCTCCACCAATGTTACACAGCCAACAGTAGGACAGCCACGATGCAAAACCCACTTGGATGTACTATTTTTTAGCCTGAGCCACGCAGGCACTTTGGTCAATAAAGATAGATAACGAGTAGTTCTTTCGAGAGAACTCAGGTATCTACATTTGATGGGATTAACACTTTCCCCAAACCTTGAGACATGAAAAATCTTCAGTACAACACAACAAAATTATATCTTGCTCTTTTCCAGGAATCCAGAAATTTGTTTTAATACATGCAATTTATAAATGGAGACGTGAACCTCAAACAGATTAGCAAATGATTGTCTTTTATATAAGTCATACACACTTATAAGGAAGCTGTAAGGCCTAAATTCCCACTCTGTGATCCTCCACAACCTGAATAAGTCAAACCCTCAACTGTTTTGACTTAACTCAATAAGTAACTGAAATAACTGAAACTCAGTAAGTTTCAGTTTCCTCACATAAAGTACAAGTATAATGACCCATGTTCCTACTTTGATTACTCCAGCCTGACGCCATAAGAAAATACGGACACATTAGCAAACCTTGAATTATTACAAACCAAGATGCTACGTAATGTATGTCATGAGTAGCTCTTCAGTACACAGATGAAAATGCTTTCAAACATCATTTCATTTGCTAGCTATAGAGACAAACTGTAGCATCTCATAAGGAAACATAACTATGCCACTGACAATAAAATATAAAACTATCCAGATATATGATCAAGAATTAAATATTAACTTGTCTCTCTGTAACTTACCCGGTGTCACAATGTAACATTACAGGAACAATCTGATGAGTTTTGTGCTAAGCTTTGGACATAATGGTCCCAAAATAACATATGGCATTAGTTTTGACTGCTGAGGCAATTAAAGGTTATGTTGGTTTTCCAGATACAAGGGCTGATTAAAAAATACAGGATGTTGAAATTTAAAAATTTATTATAGTAAAGGACACACGGCCATTAAACCTCCCCCCCACAAATATTTCCCCTTGCTTCAAACACACTTATTCCATCATTCTTGCCACTTTTTTTTTTTTTTTTTGAGACAGGGTCTCACTATATAGTTCAGGTTGGCCTCGAACTCATAGTCACCCTCCTGCCTCAGCCTCCCAAATGTTGGGATTAGAGCATGAGCTTTCTTGCCACTTTTGAAGCAGTTCTACAGGTTCTTTTTCATGAGTGTCTTTCTGAGGTGTGATCAAATATATGGTGAATGCTGCTGCCCAGTGCCATCCAATGAAAAGGGAGTCTGGTAAAAATATTTCAGTGTGTCTTCATATACATTCTTCACCAAATCTTGTACCATGTGCCTCTGGCTGTTCCCCCAAAGTCAAAATGATCACAAAAGGTAAACATTTTGAACTGACCAGCAATGTTGTGTCACAGCAGCCATGACAATGTAATTGAAGACAATGATAAGAGGACTTCTAGAACTGTTTTCTAGAAAGTGGCAACAATGATGGGATATGTGCATTTGAAGCAAGGTAGGGGAGGGGACAGCAGTATTTTGAGGGGGATTAATGCCAATGTGTTCTTTATTGTAACACATTTAAAAATTTTTGTAAACATTTACTGTTTTTTATCACAATTTGTACAATCTGAATTGGTCATGTAAATTTCTTTGAGATTAATATCTAACAGGCCTAAGTCTCTTCAGTTGAAATCACCACAAGGTTCCCTTTTAGAAGGAGGTCTGAAATTTCTACTAAAATGAAATCAGGGACATAAAGCCTAATCTGAACAGAAAAGCTGAGAGAAAGCAGTTTGGCGGCTGAGAAAAATGGCTCTGCTGTCAGACCATCTGGGTTTGCGCTCTACCTCTGAATACCTAGGGAACTTGCAGATTACTTTGGTTTAAAGATTATGTTTTTCTGAGAAATAATGACAGAAGCCAATGGTTATTTCCTCTGATTTAAATTCTTAAATATTTTACTGTGTCAATTTTTAAAAGAATGTAACAAATCTCAAGGTCTGTCCCTTTAATTATAAAATTCCCCCAACTATAAAATCCATCTCTGTATGATCCATGAACAAAGTTCAAAATGTACAGCCAAGTATTTCAAGTAGGGGAGGAAAGAAAGCCATACTGGGGCACATGCTCAAAATGCAATCAATTTTCTGTATGGCTGCCTATGAATATATACTTGATTTTACTAACATCAAAGAATCCAACTGGTACAAAGCAATAACTAATTTCTCTTTAAAGTCTCTTCTGGTCAGAAGGAACCTCTGCCTATATTGTGAAACAGGTTTTCTGGGGACAGGAAAAGCCACAAAAATGACCAATAGGGAAGACCAAAGCCAGAACTGGGCAGAGGGCAAGGGCAGCCTGCCCAGGTGTCTCTACTCTATTTACCTCCAGCCTGTATTAATACTGTTTTTTTTTTTTTAAAAAACATCCATCTGTACCTGCAGAAATCCCAAAGAAAACAGTAACAACCCCTTAATGTTATATACAGAAACAAAAGCACCACATGTTGCTTAAAGGGTAGTCACATTTCTTGAGACAGCACACCAGAAGTCCTGCCTCAGTTGTGCCAGCAAATGCCCACCAGGATGACGGACGGGAGGGCCCTGCACATCACCAACAGAATAACATACTAGGCACTCTCTGAAGGTCAAGCCAAGTGTGCCAATTAAATTAGATCATGCTTTCTTTCCTTCCTTCCTGTTAAGTCAGAAAGAACATTACCACGAAATATATGAGAATAATTATTTTGGCTTTGAAAGAACTATTCTTTACCGTTCCCTTGAGTTCAATTTCTTATCTTTTGGCTCTCTACTGAAATGCTTTGCTTTGTATAATCTCAGGAACTTCAATTATTTGAGAGCAACAACAAAAAAAGTTAAGTTTAATCTTTACTAAACAGCTGCAGATTTCACTAGGAAGGATGACAGCAGAGTGTAGGAATAAAGACCCCAGTTCTCTCAACGTACTACCAGTGGAATGACCAAGTCATAATACTAGTAGAATGACTAAGTTGGTGAGTAGGAATAAAAAGGTACAACCAAATGAGGAAAAAAGCAGCAGCAAAGTGGCCCAGAGCCCTCTCTGAAATCAAGTGTTCAGGTTCAGAATAAAGACAGTTAACTCACAATATACAAGAGTATTTTCCTGCCTTCCTAAGTGTTTATTTTCTCTTAAATGGGTATCACTATCTAAAACTCAGTGATTAACACAGATCGAAAATATCAAAAAAGCAAGCTGACAGAGCTGGGCTCACCTAAACAAGCCCTAATTTCAGTCTTTTTTTTTCTAGACCATGCAAGAACCATGATTAAAGGTACCAAATCAGAGCAAAGATGAGACAGGAGACAGAGATTCATCTGAAAAAAAGAACAATTTTAACCCAGGATCTTATGTTTGCTACAAATAATCTAATCTTTCCGATTTAAGGTAAGCATCCATCCTTATAACTAAATTGTAAGTTGTTTTAGTTGTATTTGTCTTAAAATGAAATTCATTTTATAAGAAATCACCATTTAAAACATGCTGAACTTTAAGGACCTCTGTAATCACTTAACAATCACAGAAATCACAGAAAAGGGACATGTAACTATCTGATGCTAAAGAGGAATGTGTTTATATAAATACTGAGCTGCTGAGTTTCACAGCAGTTCCCAGGGACAGTTAGCTAAAATCTACCAATGATCATTTTCATGTAGAGATGAAAAGACTTGGAATGATGGATTAAGTAGTGTTCAGATTCTGGCCATCACATACAAGGCTGTTGTGCTCAATCAACATACTGAAGTTCTGTCAAGTACAAAATTCAGGTTAACAGACTCTTCTAAGACAGCGGTTTTAGTCATAGAAGCCTCACCTGCTCACTTCCAAACCTCCACCTGTGCCCCTAGAAATCCCAGGCTCTGAGGAACACGGTTGCAAAATTACTATTCTAAACATAGAGGACGCAACAATAGAGTTGCTAAGATCTCTACTTCCTTTTTATTTTTTCTTTTTAAAGAAACTGTCTGGCTGATTCTGAGATATGGGAGATTCTAAGATATCTGGTGAGACTGTGCTGAAGTCTGGTTCCAAGAGTCTGGGTATCTTTCTTCTCTGGTTTCCCTTGTGTCTCAATCTTCTACCTCATCTACTAAGCTTTGGATAATGTGCTTTTCCTAATAAGAATCCGCTGGCTAAAAGTAAGGAATACAGACTCTGGAAAAGAACTGGCTACAAAATACGTGACACACAGGCATACATGTGCTCCCATCACATACACCATGATGGCTGCCACTTTCAGCTTGAAACCTTAAAATTCAAAGTGTAAAACTCCTTTAAGAGGCTTTGATCTACTATTAAAAAACAATCTTCCAAAGTACTGTCTCAAAATTTTCAAAAATATACTCTAAATTAGCAGTGGTGATCACTGGATTAGAAATTTTTATTTTCTTCCTTTTGTTATCTGTAATATCTTGACTTTTCTACAACTCCCTTGTGTTGTTTTGTTTAGCTTCGTTACAGTAATTTACTTGTGACTTCTGCCAGAGTTTTCATTACTCAGTATTAGAGAGTTCTAAATGGTAATCAAAATGTTCTCGTCCTTGGACTTCACAACTTCCAAGAAATGCCAAAGGAGTTTCTTGACAATCACATGCTCCCAAGCAGGTTTTTTCCTAGAGCGTGGTACAGTGGATAAAGATGTACCAAATGCCATATAGCAAACATGCTAGTAGAGGGTACTCAACTTTCTCATCAATCAAGAAGTTCTGTTACAGAATGGTCTAGCAGAGTCGGTAAGGTTTGGAACAAATGCAAACACACAAGTGGTCTTGAGTGGACCAGGTACTCAAGCATGCTAAGCTGGTTACAAGAACCGTTGGGCAAACAGGATCTTCACACCTTTCGTAGAACAGTTTAGTCAACAGGACCAATTAAACAATCTTCACACTAGACCAGCTTTCTACCCAGTAGAGCAGAGTAGAACAGATCTGAGTTACCTGAAATTAGTATCTTAAATTTGAGCTCACCTTTGTGTCCATGGTCTTCACCCCATGAATTCTCTACTCTCCATTTCAGAAATGTACCATCCTGATCATCCTGATTAAAAAAAAAAAGATGATACGGTACAGTACGAATAGATTCCCCTTGGAGGGGTGTCATGCAATTTTAGCTTGTTGTAGCCACTTAAAACAAACCGTCTGCTGTAAATAGCCATGATGTACATGACCAGGGACAATGTATTTTCTCATAACACTAGACAGATACATACTCCAATAATAAGTGGGGTAAATAAAGCTAACAAAACAATAAATATTCCCTTTCCTTTACATTCTATTCTATACAGAAAATAAACTGGTAAAAACGTTACTTGGCTAAGGAAAATAAAATGTATTATTAAAAGTAGTGAACATCATTTGAAGCCAGGGATTCTTGTCCTTAATCAATCAGAATTTTTGGAAAGGCATCCCATTGCATTTATTATAGGAACGATTCTAGGTCCTGGCTATGAGTTTCTGAAAAATAAAACAAAACAAAATAAACACATTCTCATCACAATGTATGATTTTCTATCTAGGGAAATCAAGTAATGATGTTCTCCAAATGTGTTTTTTTACTGATTCAGTTACACAAATATTCAATTTAATATAACAGAGATTGAATGGCAAAGCCAAAATAAAGAGATCATTCTCATAAACAAAACCCAGGCAGTTTTGTTCTCTTTTCTATCTTCATTAACAAAATAAGCTCTATTATAATCTTCTTAAAGGGGCAATGATATGATAATAACCTTCCTTTCTAGCATTTATTATAGTGACACAGAGAGGACAAAAGTAAAGCTCCATTTGAGAAAAGACTTTTTGGTCATGTTTACCCAGGACATTTGCTGATGTCAAAACAATTTAAATCTCTGTAGCACGAGAGAGCACTGACACTTGTGTTTCTCCTAATGATCTCATCTGTCAACTCCTACTTGCTATTACTGATGATAAGTCTCTTCTACATGGGTTTGGTTCCCTGTGGGTCTGTTGACCTGAACATTCTAATTCTACTCTTAGCATTTTTCTTAGATCTCAGTAATTTTCAGTCTCAGATTTAGCTAACAAACCCACAACTTTTAAGTATTCTTACCTATACTAGCAACATTAAATTATATACTCTGAGGCCAGCATATTAAATGCTTGCTTAGTTTTCTATTTCACTCATTGTACTCCACCTTTTCTTTTAAATATCATGGCTAGAATCTACACCAACTAAAGTTATTTACTTGTTACTGTATGTCTGAAAATGTTTACTGTTACTTTGCCAATTAATTCTTGCATGACCTAAATTGTTTTTTGGATCATCTACAAATATAAATGATAAAAGTTGGGCCTTCCTCTCAGGGATGCCATGGGAACAGCATCAGGATTGAATACTGCAGAAATATTGTAACCAGAATGCATTTATCTCTGTATTATTATTAAAACGTAGTTCAAACTAGTTTTAATGGCAAAAACTCCTAGTGGGGGGATGTTCCAATATAAACTTTCAGTTATAAACCATGCCAATCAAAAATAGAAGTTCCGCGTGCTGGGGATTTAGCTCAGCAGCACAGTGCCTGCCTGGCAAGCGCAAGATCATGAGTTCGATTCCTGGTACTGGAAGAAAAACAAAAACAAAACAAAACAAAACAAAAAAACAAAAATAGAAGTTCCAGAGAAAATGACATAAGAGTATTAATGATTTTTATTCCTGGAAATGGAAAATGATTTTTAAAAAGCTAAAGTTTCCCTCTCTCTCTCTTTTCTTTTTTGAGACAGGGTCTCACTATATAGTTCAGGCTGGTCTTAAACTACTATGTAGTCTAAGCTGGCCTCAAACTGACTACAATTCTCCTGCCTCAACCTCCCAGGTACGAGCCACCATGCCTATCTAAAATGTTAAAGATCTCCTGAAAATTACAAAAGGATTTATAACTTATAATTTTATAATACAGCTGGTCCAAGCAGAAATGAATAAATTATGCACTAACTTACTCATAAAAATTTCTCTTAATGTTTACTTCTAATATCAAAGGGCTATTCTTATTTAAAATAACATCACTTAATTTTGTGTTTTGTTCATAATTCTAATGTGAGAATTTTGTTATAAATCAGGGTGGTAATAATTAACTAAATCACTGTCTACTCTTGTGAAATGGCTTTTTGTAATCTATAAAGGTAATATCAACCATACTCCATATAATTTTTCTGAAGCTAACTTTTAATAGAAATCATGTAAGTCTTCAACTTTTGCATTTATTTGGGAAAACTACATGAAGATCAAGAAATCAATATAGGACTGCCTAATTAGTTGAAGGTACTTTTTATACCATACTATGTTTGATGATCTCACGTAAAAGTGAAATATCTCAGAGTTCTACTACTTAAAGACTACTTAAAGTCCTAGCCCTGTAATCTGTACAAACGTAATTAAACCTTCCCTAAGAACAGGTTTTGAACAGGAGAGAGCACAAGGATCTAGGACACTGTAGGTCAAAAAGGCGTTAAGTGAAGGAGCTGGCAGAGATGGGAGAAAGGTACAGTGAGAAAATGTCACCCTACTCATAACTGTGCCTAAAGAGTACACAAAACAATCAGGACTTCTAGGTAGTCTAGGTAGGAAAACATGACATAATGACACGCTGAGATAGTAAGTGCTTTAGTGATCATAAATCCAGAGGGCTGGGCAGCAAAAACAGTTCTCTATCAAACTGTTCCCTAAAGCAACTTATGCAAGGTAGTTTGTAGATTTCTTTCCAGTGATTAGACTAGAGAGAAAGTTTTTGATGGTGATGGTAAAGAATTATACTGGCTTGAAGTCTTTTCTTACTTATGATCCTTAAGCATAGGGAGTAAAATAACCTTCTATAGCCTGAAAGTGGAGAGTTTATTTGTGAAAGATAAAATTTCCAACACCACAATATATCCCAGAAATTGTGACAGTACTATTCAGAGTATTTCACAGCAAGTTCAAAATACTTTATATCCAATCTCCTACAGCTCTGCATAAATCCAAGTAATGGTTAATGGTAAACAAAGGAAGGTAAGTCTGAAAGTAGGTCATCAAGATAGTAACACTGTTTTTTTTTTTTTTTTTTTTTTTTTGTTTTTCTCCGGTACCACCTGCCTCACCCTCTGTGAAAG